TACAGGTAAACTTAACTTTCATTTTCCAGCAAGGCTCTTAATTCACTGACGATGACACTATTGCTAATTTGTCTCTGTCCTTTATGTAAGTTCTTTGGCCTAAGAAGTCTGTTCAACTTTTTTCCATAGTATTATTTGTAAATTATTGCCATTTTCTTTAAATTCAAAAGTTACATTTTATCTATGATTGTTTTAAATGCCCAGCTGTCTGGTACAAAACTAAGCATCTCAGTATCTTGTTGTTTATCACTTGGCCTTTACAGATTTTCAGGCACTAGGAATTTATCAGTACTGTTCTCACCCACAACCAATTGAGAGGGAGATTTTGTATATTCAGTTGCACTGATGTAAAACAATGAGAATATAAACAAAGTCCTGTGGAGTCGTGCTGATTGACAACACTGATGAAACATTATAGGTGGGATTCAGTTTAAGACACCTACATTTAGTGTTTACATGTGTACAGAGACACTGGGTGTCCAAATTCCTGCATTAGTCAACAGATATTTCACTAATATACCACAAGACTTAGGGGATTCTTATGCTGTAAGGTATTTTGTCTTGCCCACGCTGTTGCTTCAAAAGGATGAATGGCTCCCAAATATTTTGTGCTACTATCTTCTAACACTGGTGTCTAGGTGTCTAGGGAATCTCAAAAGGCAGGAGCTGCCTATGTTTAGGCAACTGGATTCAAAACTGAGTATCAAATTCAGAGTTAGCTGTAATACTTTTCACACCATTTGTCTTCTGACAAGTTCATGAGAGAAGACCAAGTCCAAATAAAAAGAATTCCTTTTGGTGGTAGATTTAGTGCTTTCACCTTATTTGAAAGTGAACCTTCAGTCCTGAATGCGTCTGTGTCAATTGAAAAGGGAATTTTCACTTCTGTCCCTTTTATGTAGAATGTCAGCCATGGCACAGCTGTTCTTGGAGCATATGTATGTATGTCACGTGGGAAGGAGGACTTGAGCTGTCCTAGTGCAAAAAGAATTGTGTTAGCATATAGATTGATGATCTGTGCTGCAAAAGGAGTAGTGATACAAAGACATGCTCACTTTTTATGAAAGCCAGTTTTCGTAGAAGGTGTTATACCTTATAGAAGGGTTGTTTTTAACTTGTCCAAACAATTGCTAAGTTATTTGTACCAGACAGTGATTCTCCTTTTTGTGACTTTCTGTGAATTTCCTTTTGAATCTTCTCTGTTCCGTGTTTCCATTAAACAAACGCACTGACAGCTTGTTTGATTTGCTCTGAAATCACATTACACGATCTAACTCTGAGCTAAATATGCAGTTTAGTAAGCTGAAAACTCTTCTGCCATCCTCCATTCATCCTGTGAATTTGGAAATTCAGTTCAGCCAGGAAATTGTCCTGTACTTCTTCCCCTACTCAGTTAGAAGGAGAAGGAGGGGAAATTGCATTTCAGAGATTTAAAATGTGAAATAAAGTTTTATTTACATAGAATTATATCCTACAGGAGGTCATAGAAACTTTTTGCTTTTTTTGGAGAAGAAGTAAAAGGATAAACTTTTAAAGGCATTTTTTGGCTTGGTGAATTGTTTCAGCTACCCGGGAGTCTTATAAGCAATCTGGGATTGCTACACCATTTGCAGTTAAAGCTGATTTTGCTAGAGCTGCCTTGAGCACTAAAAGTGAAATACCTGATAAAGGATCCATGTATGACAGAGACCTAGAATTCTGTTTACTTCTATACTAAACATTACCATCTGGCTCGTTGGGCATCTGTTCAAATGTCATTTGGGAAGAGGGCACAGCGAGTTCTCTCTTGTAGCTAACCCAGCAAATAATTCTAGCTCTGTTTATTATTCCCAGGAAGCTCTGACTGACTTAAAGAATAAATCAGACATGTACATTGCCTTCCTTGTATTGAAAAGGTTCTGTTGGCTCCTTTTTACCAGTGTGGAAATCCCCCCCATTAAATTTTGTGCTAGGTTTTTAAGACTGAAACTCATTTAGAAATAGGATTATTAGTTCTTTCAGTTCAAATCAAGATCAAATTCTAGGTATTTTAAATTGGATAGTCCATTTTATGGGATTTATCAAATTTAGTTTGGGCTGCCTGTTGAAAGGTCTGAGCCAAATAGCCTCAGAGTTTTATAGGACAATTTCTTTTCTTGTTTTGCATGTTTTCTCAAAAAACTCTCTTTGTAGCTCATTTTGTCCATGGGAATGACATGTTTTTACTGGAGCTAGGTAAAATTCCCATTCTTCAGTTACTTGCCTCTGTTAAAGGATTCTTCTAAAGCACTTGTTAATTTTGCATTAAAAATGGCTATCTTTGCTGTACTCATTGAATCCAATCTACCAAAATACTTCAGGCATATATTTTGGGTTCTGTAAAGGTTCTCTTGTTCTGCCAATGTTGATTTCTAGTAAAGCATTTCTGAAATTCTCTTTTCAACTCATGAATTATTTAGTATTTCTTTTCGTAGTCCAAGTCATTCAAATTATTTTTTTTGCATAGCCTGTTATATACCTTCAAGTTCATAGCTAAGTGCTTAGTATTGAGAATGGAATTTTTATTATTTAGAGATATTATAAAAGTAGCTGCATAATGTATTAGAACATACCTTGTTTGTTAAAGCTTATTCCTGTAACTGGAAATAAGTCTTTAAAAGTCCTGGCATTTTTCTTGAGAGAGAGAGAAAAGAAAAGTGTCTATGTATGTGGGTTAATTTGTTCTTTTTTTTTACCCCCCCCAATAAAAATATATATAAATAAAAAAATGTTTGTTACGTTTGCATGTAACAATTCTAAAATAACGGATTTTAGCATAAAGTCCGGAGGCTGCAAACTTCAGATGCAGAGATGAAAGCTGCTGAAAGCTGAAATCTAACTTTCAAATATATGATTGTGATAGCAGTTACTGAAATTTGTGACCTAAACCGACAGGTTTGTGACAACAGTTCTCTGGTAACCAGGAGGATTGTTTTTTCCTTAAAAAGGTGTTTGGAAATTTGTAAATATAACTTATGAAAAGTCACAAGTCTTGGTTTCCTTTCCTTAGGGATATCAGGGATCAGCAGGAGCTCCAGGTATCCCAGGAAGTCCAGGGGTTCAAGTAAGTTTCTGTTTCATTCCTAGAATTTGAAAATCTGACAAGTCTTGCCAACTCTCTCCCAATATCTGTTGTTTGTCATTGAGAGTTGAGGTGTGGGGTGAAAAGGGCTCAAGGGATGGCATGAAGTCAGGGGCCATCCTTGGGTGGATTGCTTTGGAACTCACATGGCTTTGGGGTTTGTAGGCAGGCTGACAATGAGACTGCAAATCTAATCATTGCTAGGTAGGGCCTGTAGGACCAGGACTCAGCTGGGGCTTAGACATTCTCATCCTGATCCAGAGGCCAAACAGTAGTTCTTCCATTTTTCTATGAATCAGTAACAGTGATCTGAAGCCTTGTCATGGTGATTGATTACCCACAATTCATGTGTCCAAAAGGTGGTTTCAGATAAAGCCCAGACTGATGGAGGAGAATTATTTTTCTTCATTGTATTAATTTAGTAGCCCTTACTGGGACAGTTATTGGAAACCAGTGCTGTATTTTACTTGTGGAATGATCCAGTCTGGCTAGATAGTCAAGGATTTATTAATTTGTTGAATTAAGTATCTGAGAGCATGCTGGGGCCAAGAGCGAGACTGCAGCATGGTATATGTGAAGGCTGTCTGATGGACTTTTGAAAGTAAGGGGACATCTCTGAACTAGTACAGGCCATGTGATGTCCTTTTTTCCTGAGGTGGTCCTTGGTTAGAGCAAAGAATTGTTTTAGTGTTCCCCGGTTATAAGGTTATAGATTATGGGTTATGATAGTGTGCCATATTCATACAGGCTGGATACATTTCATGCTTGGTTCTGCTTTTCTATCCAGTTACCAAAATGTTGTGATCAGCCAGCTGACACATCAGTCCCTGGGTCATGTTGTATTACATTTCTGCATCTCATTCTGTATCAGATTGTATTAGTGTTTGAGCTGGATTTCATTTTTTCTCTCTCAGGGACCACGTGGCTTACCAGGTATCAAGGGAGAGCCGGGGAAAGATGGGGCTAAGGTAAAAAAAAAAAAAAAAGAGTAATAGGTGAAAAGATTTTACTCTTAACCATTTTTGGTTGTACAGTTAATAGTATCAATATTTTCACATGAAGCTTCTGTGAGAATTGTTTACTAAAGAGGTAGTAAAGAAGGAATAAGAATCCTATATTTTGAATGTTACTTCAATTCTGAATCTGGTCTGTTTTATTTAATAAAGTTTATATAGGCTTTAGCACTGCCAGTAACACCTTTACTGCACTGAATAATTTATATTTAGAAAGCATATCTAAATATGGGTACCTGGAAGCACAATACAGACATCTGTCAGAATGGTTTCTTTCTATCTCTTTTCACCCTTTTTCTCTTCAAGTGAGCATACAGGTGAGCTAGGTAGGAATTTTTAGATGGCACTTCTTATCAGAAGACACTGACTAACTGAAACCAAAGCTTTTTGTGGGAAAATTCTAGCTGAGGTGTAGCCAGTAGCTTGGAGCTGCAGACAGATGTGGAAGCATATATATAACTCCCTTCTGGTAGTCAGGATAAACTTGAATCTGGATCTCCTGTATATGCAGTGAATAAACTAGCCATTGGCAAGTCTCATTGATATGTAAATATCTGTGTCCACCATTCTCTCACACTTTTGCCCTATGTTTAGAAAAGTTCTAAGTTCATTGTGATAAAAATGTATTTTGTTTTGATTTATTAAAACTTCAGAGCCTTTTTGTAAAACAAGCACTTGTTTTCCAAACAGATTTTACTGTAGAATTTCTTTCTTCTAAAGTTCCCAATATTAAAAGCAGGTCCTTAAATTCGTCACTGTTCAG